GCTGCTTGCTGGGAATTTCAATGGCATTCTCGAGTTTGATTTGGAGAAGCAGAGGCTAGCTGTGATACGGCTGCCAGACGAGGTCAACTGCTGGAAGCTTATGCGGGCAGAGGGCGGTGGGCTTGGTCTCCTCGGGATGTTTAACTCAAACTGCAACACCCAGTTATGGAAGCCCAAAGTTTCTTTGTAAGCCGAGCTCCACGGTCCCTCTTATCTGGGCTGTTGGTTTGCATCGAGATTGCTGCAAAAAGAAGCCTCACGAGCCACAGAGCTGCTGGTTGCAATGTCATTAGCAGGTGCTGTCCCATCCTGTCGCATGCTGCATGCCGCATGCAGCTCCCGTCCTGTCACATGCAGATGCAGGTCACTGGTCATGATGCATCCTAGATGAGAGAGAGGCGAGAATGAGGAGTAGAGAGACAGAGTCGGAGGTGAAATTTATTATTTGCAAGTCTCAGATTTTTGCAAAGTCTCAAATGGAGGAGAGAAGAGAGAGAGGGGAGAAAGAGAAGAGAAAATGAAGACAAATTCTGCATGTGAGAAATTTTGTTTTTACTAAGTTAAGAAAGAGATGAAGGCGAAATCTGCATGTGAAGAAGCTTGTGTTTGCATGTAAGACTGCATTTAGAAAAGAGAAAATGAGAAGAGAGAGAGAGAGAGAGAGGGCGAGAGCATGGTGATACGGCTTATATGGTGATACGATGCATCGGTCTATTCTGGACCACTAGATCACGTTCAGTGGGACATGATGCATGCACATGAGTTGGCCAGCAACCCCACTTTCAAATATGCAAAAAACACCCCAAATTATGTTCTTAATTGAATGTGAGGCCTTTTCGTATACTAGTCTACCAGCTGCACTTCCGTTCATCACTCGAAAAATGCCTTAGTTTCAATGTGCGAACACACACACACACACACACACACACACACACACGCACGCACGCACGCGCACACACACACACTCACACTCAAATCCAGAGTTCCTCTCAAGTCTTGTTATTGGGCCATCTCCTTGTTTTGTTGTTATATTGATAAAAGTTAAACAAAATAAATTATATTATATTGTGCCATCTCCACGTTTTGTTGTTATATTGTCCGACAAAGTAACCAAAAAATTCACTGTCTGTTTATTAATATAAGGGAAATTATTTTGTTGCACTTTATCGATAATTGAAAATTAGTACTTTTATAGATTATCATAACTGAAAGTAATACAAAAAAAATCAAAAAATACAAGAGAATAAGTATGAAAATTGACAGAATGAACATACCAATCTAGTCTGTTATTGTTCATGGACAATTATTTTATTTTTATTATATTACTTTCAATGATGAAAATCTATAGAAGTACTAATTTTAATTTGTGTTTTTTTTCATTTGTGCGGTTGGTCTTAAAAAA